TGGGATGCAATAACCCCCACTGCCCCTCTTTGGGATGCAATAACCCCCACTGCCCCTCTTTGGGATGCAATAACCCCCATTGCCCCCCTTTGGGATGCAATAACCCCCACTGCCCCTCTTTGGGATGCAATAACCCCCATTGCCCCCCTTTGGGATGCAATAACCCCCACTGCCCCCCTTTGGGATGCAATAACCCCCGTTCCTCCTCTTTGGGATGCAATAACCCCCATTGCCCCTCTTTGGGATGCAATAACCCCCATTGCCCCCCTTTGGGATGCAATAACCCCCCCCCCTCTTTGGGATGCAATAACCCCATTGCCCCCCTTTGGGATGCAATAACCCCCATTGCCCCCCTTTGGGATGCAATGCCCCATTGCCTCTCTTTGGGATGCAATAACCCCCATTGCCCCCCTTTGGGATGCAATAACCCCCACTGCCCCCCTTTGGGATGCAATAACCCCCATTGCCCCCCTTTGGGATGCAATAACCCCCACTGCCCCCCTTTGGGATGCAATAACCCCCATTGCCCCTCTTTGGGATGCAATAACCCCCATTGCCCCCCTCTGGGATGCATTTACCGCCTTTGCACATGTTTTGGTTGGATTTACCCCCACTGCCCCCCTTTGGGATGCGATAACCCCCACTGCCCCCCTTTGGGATGCAATCTGCCCCCCACTGCTCTCACCACCCCCCCCCCTTTGGGATGCTCTAAGCCCCCTTGCCCCTCTTTGATGGATGCTCCCACTGCCCCCCTTTGGGATGCAATAACCCCCATAGCCCCCCTTTGGGATGCTCTTGCTTCCCTTTGGGATAACCCCCATTGCCCCTCTTTGGGATGCGATAACCCCCATTGCCCCCTTTGGGATGCAATAACCCCCCTCTTTGGGATGCGATAACCCCCATTGCCCCTCTTTGGGATGGAATAACCCCCACTGCCCCCCTTTGGGATGCAATAACCCCCACTGCCCCCCTTTGCCCCCCTTTGGGATGCAATAACCCCCACTGCCCCCCTTTGGGATGCTCTAACCCCCTCCTCTTTGGGATGCAATAACCCCCATTGCCCCCCTTTGGGATGCAATAACCCCCACTGCCCCCCTTTGGGATGCAATAACCCCCACTGCCCCTCTTTGGGATGCAATAACCCCCACTGCCCCTCTTTGGGATGCAATAACCCCCACTGCCCCTCTTTGGGATGCAATAACCCCCACTGCCCCTCTTTGGGATGCAATAACCCCCACTGCCCCTCTTTGGGATGCGATAACCCCCACTGCCCCTCTTTGGGATGCGATAACCCCCATTGCCCCTCTTTGGGATGCAATAACCCCCATTGCCCCTCTTTGGGATGCAATAACCCCTGTTCCTCCTCTTTGGGATGCAATAACCCCGATTGCCCCCCTTTGGGATGCAATAACCCCCATTGCCCCTCTTTGGGATGCAATAACCCCCATTGCCCCTCTTTGGGATGCAATAACCCCCATTGCCCCTCTTTGGGATGCAATAACCCCCACTGCCCCTCTTTGGGATGCAATAACCCCCATTGCCCCTCTTTGGGATGCAATAACCCCTGTTCCTCCTCTTTGGGATGCAATAACCCCCACTGCCCCTCTTTGGGATGCAATAACCCCCATTGCCCCTCTTTGGGATGCAGTAATCCCCACTGCCCCTCTTTGGGATGCAATAACCCCCATTGCCCCTCTTTCGGATGCAATAACCCCCACTGCCCCCCTTTGGAATGCAATAACCCCCATTGCCCCTCTTTGGGATGCAATAACCCCCACTGCCCCTCTTTGGGATGCAATAACCCCCATTGCCCCCCTTTGGGATGCAATAACCCCCACTGCCCCTCTTTGGGATGCAATAACCCCCATTGCCCCTCTTTGGGATGCAATAACCCCCACTGCCCCTCTTTGGGATGCAATAACCCCCGTTCCCCCTCTTTGGGATGCAATAACCCCTGTTCCTCCTCTTTGGGATGCAATAACCCCCATTGCCCCTCTTTGGGATGCAATAACCCCCACTGCCCCTCTTTGGGATGCAATAACCCCCATTGCCCCTCTTTGGGAGGCAATAATCCCCATTGCCCCTCTTTGGGATGCAATAACCCCCGTTCCTCCTCTTTGGGATGCAATAACCCCCGTTCCTCCTCTTTGGGATGCAATAACCCCCATTGCCCCTCTTTGGAATGCAATAACCTCTGTTCCTCCTCTTTGGAATGCAATAACCCCCGTTCCTCCTCTTTGGAATGCAATAACCCCCCTTCCTCCTCTTTGGAGATGCAATAACCCCCGTTCCCCCTCTTTGGGATGCAATAACCCCCGTTCCCCCTCTTTGGGATGCAATAACCCCCGTGCCCCCCCACTTTGGAATGCAATAACCCCATTCCCCTCTTTGGGATGCTCCCGTGGTGCCCAGGCAAGGGGTGGATTGATCCTGGAATTGATAATGGACTCATCGGATTTATAATGGAATAATTAGATTGGTAACAGAATATTTAGGTTGATAATAGAATAATCAGATTTCTCATGGAATAATCAGACTTCTAATAGAATAATTATATTGATAATAGAAGAATCCAATTTATAATGGAATAATCCGATTTATAATGGAATCATATAGATAATAGAATAATCAGATTTAGAATGGAATAATCAGATTTCTAATGGAATAATTAGATCACTAATAGAATAATTAGTTCACTAATAGAATAATCAGATCAATAGAATAATTTGATTGATAATTTTTAACTTATCCCTAAAAAACAGGGATACTCCCCAGCAAGGTCGTGCCAGGCCCAGGTGAGCCACAATATTGTAAGCACTGGGGAAAAAAGTCATGGAAAAATGGAATCCCCAAGCCTAAAGCTGCACCTCATCATCATCATCATCATCCAGCACCTAAGAAAGGAGGGGAGGAAGAGACCCTGCAGGTGTCCCTGGAGGCTGCAGATGGCAGAGCTCACACGGTATTCCCGTTGGGAAGGATGGGAGCTGCTCGGGATGAAGACACCACAGAGAAGCCTGCTGGGGGATGCTCGGAGCCAAGTGCTTTGGAATGTCACACCGCATCCCAAGGGCAACGTGCCATGGGGTGGGAGCACGAGGACAAGGGGATGTCCTGGTGCTGGTGCCTGGTGCTGTGCCCCTGGCAGCGCCTCAACAACAGCCTCCCCACTGCTCCCAGCCAGGGACACGGGGGGAACAAGGAGACGGAACCCAGAGGAAGCCTCAGCACTGGGAATGGAGAAGGTGCAGCCCCAGGCCCGCACCCTGCAGCACTGGGCTGTGTTTGCAGAGACCTATGGAGCCCCTGTGTCCAACCTGGCCTTGAACACAGCCGGGGATGGGGCAGCCACAGCTTCTCTGGGCACCCTGTGCCAGCGCCTCAGCACCCTCCCAGGGAAGAGCTTCTGCCTAAGAGCTCATCTCAGTCTCCCCTCTGGCAGGTTAAAGCCATTCCCCTTGGCCTGCCCCTACAGGCCCTTGTCCCAAGCCCCTCTCCAGCTTTCCTGCAGCCCCTTCAGGCACTGGAGCTGCTCTCAGGTCTCCCCTTCAGGAGCCTTCTCTTCTCCAGGCTGACCCAGCCCAGCTCTCTCAGCCTGGCTCCAGAGCAGAGCAAGAACAGCAAGCATTTAACATGGAAACAAGGAGGCCTCTGGAAACCAGCAGCATTCCCAGCCTCAGACCCAAGGCCTCCTCTCCAAAACCTGATCCCAGCTTCCCCACGCTCCAAGGACCTGCTGCCATCAACCACGATCACCGGAGTGGGGAAGGACAGCAGAGTCGTCCATGCAGGACCTCCACAAGGCATTTCCCAAGCCAGGGAATCACCTCTCTCAATTACCAGGGGCCTGCAGCCCCCCACGCGACCTCCCCTTGGTGACACCCCCAAGGTCGATGGCTGCACACCCCCAGCGGGGTTTGATGGAATGGGATCCCCGAGGCCCCATCCCTACAACGCTCGCCCCTCAAAACCAGCCCTGTTCACACAGGAGCCACGAGCCCGAGCCCAACCGGCCCCTCAATGCAAGGGGACCAGGGGGAGCACATCTGGAGCACAAGACACGAAGGTTCCCCCCCATGAGACAAAGAGAACGGTGCCGGGAAGGGAGGAGAGCAGCAGGACCGGGGGCCCAGGCCCGCCCCACGAGGCTGTGCTCAGGCAGGGGAGGTTCTAAACCAAGGCAGGAAGCGCTTTGCAGTTCACCTCTCCCCACCCACGTGTGATGAAAGCCCGGCCATCAGCACGGGCGCTGGAGGAGCTCCAGCACCCAGGAAGCCAACCGCCCGCCCGGCCCCGGGAGGAGCTGTTACCCAACGCCCCTGTTTATTTCCCAGCCTCGTCCCATCGCTTTCGCAACACAAAGCCACGTGCAGAGGGCGAAACGCTGGCCCCGACCCTTTCCCCCTCCGTTCGCTATTGCTTTCAGGCTGAGGATAGGAGAAACAACAAGGAAAACCCACCCCACGTGTAACCCAGGCGCCCCTAAATGCATCCTAGTGGAGCATCCCAAGTGAGGAGCTGCTGTTCCCAAGCACTAAACCCAACGTGCATCACGCTGCTCGCTCAGGTGGGTACCAAAGGGCAACACACACACACACACACCCCTCCCAGCAGCCACAGAGGCTCCTGCCTACCTCTTTGGTCAGGTTGCCATTGACAGGGGCAGCCACCGCTCCCAGATCTTCCAGTTCCTCCCCAAAGCCTTGCTCAGCTCCGCTCTCCCTCACCCCGGCGTCGGGGCTGCTCCCATCCTGAAGGCCGCTGCCGTTCTCTAGGGCGATGCCGGCGCTGGGCTGAGCACCAGCCACGGAGCTCTCGGCGTCTCTGTGCACCAACCAGGCACTGACTTCGGTGGTGGGCACCTGAAACCTGTCCAGGGCCCTCACCTGGTTGAGCAGCCTGCGGGCGGTGAAGTAATAGTCCAGGTCTACGCTCTTTGGGTGGATGCCATAACCGTCCAAGGTGTTCCTCAGGTTGTGAAACTGGGTCTGGGTGTAAGCGGAGCTCTGGCCAAGGATGATCTCCCGGAGCGGGGGGAGCTGCGAGGTCAGGTAGGTGTCCACGTCCACGCGCACGCCGATCAGGCTGAGCAGGATGGTGAACTGGATGAGGCCTTCGGTGAAGTATTTCTTCAGAGAAAGCATTTCTGGAGGCCGAGGGGGAGAAAGGAAGGAGAGGAAGGTTTGGGAATGCACGGAAAGGGCACCGAAAGCACGGCGGCGGCGCTGGCTGGCTGCTCCACACACAACAGGTTGGGTGGCTTGGCTTTCGCCCTGCCCCGCTTTCACACCGACCAAGCAAAGCAGCGGCTTCGGTGCTCAGGATGGGAGCTTCAAGCACAGTCAAGGCTTTGGGTTCAGCACCTGGGGCTTCCACTGAGGGCTCCAGAGCTCGAGCAGCACCAAACTCGGCCTCCCCCCCCCCCCAGTTCTCCTCCAGGTACACGAGGACCCGGTCACTTACTGCCCAAACCCTCCACATCCAGCGGCTCCCCCCCTGCTCCAGGCCGGGGGCTGCTCCCTCCTCCGCCGGCTCCTTTGTCCCTTCTCCTCCCCGCCGCTCCTTGAAGGCGCCGGTTACGACCCAAAGGTCCCGCTCATGGAAGCTCCGAGCCCTGCTCCGCTCCCGGCTGCGGTTTCATCAGCAGCTGAAACGTAACCGGAGAGCGCGGCCGGTAACGCACCGCGGCGGAGGCGGCTCCCTCCCTCCCTCGGCGCCCGGACCCCGGCTCACAGCGGGGGCCCCGCCGCTCTCCCCATTGTCCGCGCTTCCCCTCCCCGCGCTATTCTTAGCCCCTCGCGTCAGCTCCCCCCCCCCTCCCGAGGCCTCCGGCCCCGCTCCGCCACCACCGGCACCAAAACATCCCCGCCCCGGGGGCAGGGCCGGGCCCGGTGCTGCCGAGCGGGGAGCGGGGAGCGGGGGGGGGGGGGGCAGGCGCCGCCTCCCTCATAAACCCCCCTCACCCCGCGGCCCCTTTAAGACCCCCCCGGCGCCTCCTCGTGACCCGCCCCCCCCCCACACACACCCCGCCGCTCCCCCCCCACCCCCCCATCCTCCGCTCCCCCCTCACCCCCCTCCGTTACCCGCTCGGCGCCGGCCGCCACCGCCCTCCCGATCCCGATCCCGATCCCGGTCCCGGTCCCGGCCCCGCCGCCGGCCCCGCTCCCGCTCCCCGCCCTGGCCAACCACCGCCCCCTCCCGCCTCGCGCGGCGCCGCCGCCAATCGGCGCCCGCGAAGGGGAGGGCGGGAGAAAGCGGCGGACCAATGAAAGGCGGAGCAGAGGCGTTGCTCCCGCCCCCGCCGCCCCGCGGGCAGGCGGGCTGAGCTGCCAATTGGCGCAACGGGCCAATCGGTGAAAAGAACAGAGACAACGCGACCCCGCCCTGAGTGACAGGGCCCTCGTCCAATAGAACGCGAAGTCTCCGCCGAGCGGCAGCGACAGCAGCCAATGAGACGACGCGCAGGACCCTGCCGCTTGAGCGGCAGCGGAACGCACCAATCCCCGCGAGGCAACGGCCCCGCCCCTTCGCCCCGCAGCTGTTGCCATGGCACCCGGCGCCCCAGGCCCTCAGCGAAGGGCGAGGCCCGCAGCCGCCATGGCGGAGCCGCCCCCCCCACCCCCGACACCGGCTCCGGGGCCCCCGGGCCCGCTCGGCCGCCGGAAGCACTGAGTCCAGGCCGGCCCCGGGGCGCCGCCGGGCCCCGCAGTGGCTCAGAGGCGGCGCTGGAGCGCGGCCAGGGCAGCGCCCGTGCCTCCCCCCGCCCCGCCCGTCGCTGGTCCCAAGGGCTCAGAGGCGGCTCCGGTTGGCGGCGCCCTGCGCCCGGAGCTGCCGGGAACGGGTTCATTCCATCCCCGGCAAGGGGCTCGGTGCCCCGCGGGGTGTCCATGGGGCTGCCCTTTGGACTCGTGCCCCACCGCAGGAACCCACGGGCGGGTTTGGCTTTGGGCAGGTGAACGAGGCCCCGGCTTTCAGTGCCCTGTGAGGCTGTAACTGCCCAGCGGAGGGGAGGGATGGAGCTCAGCCCAACCGCACCGGGACCCAGGGCCTGCCCCACGCAAGCTGGACACAAGGCGCTTGGATCCGCAGGGAGAGCGGCGGCAGCGGAGGTGCCAGAACCATGGAACCATGGAGGAGACCTTCAAACGCACCCAGTCCGAGCATTCCCAGCACTGCCTCGGCCACCGCTGACCCATGGCACTGAGGGACGATGACTGCAGGCCTGCCCTGGGCAGCCTGTTCCAATGCCTGAGCACCCTCTGGGGAAGGAATTGCTCCTCAGCTCCATCTAAACCTGCCCTGGAAGTTAAAGGTGTTGCAGGAGGGGAGCCGTGGTGATCCCAATGGGAGCTGTTAAATAAGCACCGCGCAGCTCAACCCCATCGCCTCTGAGCAGCTTATTTCTACCTTTCCCTATGGATCGGTGTGGCCCAAATCGATGCCAGCACCCACAGGGCAGAGCTGGCAGGGAAGGCAGGTAGGAGGTGAGGGCAGCCAAGCAGCACCACCCGGGCCTGCTATTCCTGCCCAACCCAGACACCCTCTTCCCTGCCCCAGCAACAAACAGGATGCCAGAGACAATAGTTCATCCTAAAGAGAACCCATGGAAAAGGAGCGTGGGCTCCAGCACGCAGCAGGGTGAAGGTTCCCACCCAAGGCTGCATGCCCAACGTGGCAATGCCACCGGAGCCCCTTCATGCCAGCAGCAGGGATGCTCCAGAGCATCCACCAGCAGGAAAGGCACCGGAGCCTGGAAGCGCCCACATCCACATGGAGCTTGCTTTGTCTCCCTGCCCTCCTGGAAAACACCCCGGGGCGCGGCCACATCACCCCCAGCCGGCCCTGGATCCCAACACGGGGAGGAATGAGGAATGTGGGGGTGCTGCCAGCCCCGGTGCCCAACCTCCCCCCAGCAACCCGAGCCCCTCGGGGGTTATTTTTAGTGTGTCCCCCCCCCCGGGGATCATTTGGCAGCGGCCCCAGCTCGGGCAGGCACCAGCCCTGTGGGTGCCCGGTGCTGAGCAGAGGGGGGGGGTGCGTGGAGCCCCTTCCCCATGGGAGAACTTAGCCCCCCCCACCCCCCGGGGTGAGGTTTGGCTTTGGGGGGGGGGGGGGGGAGGTCCTGTTCTCATCCCACCCCATTGGCCCCCACCCGGTGTTGGTTCCAAAGGAGGGGGCTGGAGATCAACACCCCCCCCCCCCCTCCGGAGACCCCCGTTTCCCTCCGGTACCGCGGGGAGGGGGGGACCGGGGCGGGGCGGGCCGGGGGGGGGGGGGGGGGGGCGGGCGGGGGCGGGGGGGGGGGGTGGACAAAGGCGACGGGGACATGGAGCCTGCGGGGCCGGTACGGCCGGGATTGGGATCGGGACCGCGCAGCCTTCAATGGGAACTTCGTGAGGCCTCGGCGGGATAGGGAGGAACGGGGGGGAAACGGGAAGGAAAACGTGGGAGGGGGAGAAAAGGGGAAAAACACGGAGGGGGAACGGGAGCGGGGGAAAGCGGGGTCGGGACAGAGGGGGAGGACCACGGGGGGAGACGGAGGGAGAGGGGAGGAATGGGAAGAGGGAAAATGCGGAAAGAGAATGGGGGGAACCGGGCGGGGGGGAAGGAGCGGGGCGGGCCAAGGGAGCAGCGGGGTCCCCAGTACCCGGAGCCGGGGGTGGCCGGGACTGAGCCCCCCCGGCCCCCAGGAGCCCTCCCTGTACACGGTGAAGGCTCTGCTCGTCCTGGACAGCCTCGGGCAGCGCCTCCTGGCCAAGGTGAAGCCCGGACCCCCCCCCACCCCGTGCCTCAGTTTCCCCCCATTCACCCGGCTCAGCACCAACCCCTGCCGGGCTGCGGGGGTCCTGGATGCGACCCTGGGGGTCCTGATGGCAACCTGGGGGTCCCGGCACATGGCTGAGCCCCTGCCCACCCGCAGTACTACGACAGCACCTTCCCCACGGCCAAGGAGCAGTTGGCCTTCGAGAGGAGCATCTTCAGGCAGAGCCAGCGGGCGGGCGGTGAGCAGGGGACGGGGGGGGGACACCCGGCTGCAAAGGGGAGGGCAGCAGCATCCCCGGGGGGGGCTCTGACGCTGCTCTGTGTGCAGGTGAAGTCGCGAGTCTGCAGGGACTCACCGTCGTGTACAGGAGCAGCGGAGACCTCTGCTTCTACGTGGTGGGTGGCGGACAGGAGAATGAGGTGGGAACCACGGACCCCCATGGCCCCAGTGACACCCAGGGCACCCCCATGGCCCCAGTGACACCCAGGGCACCCCCATGGGCTCCATGAAACCCAGGGCACCCCCATGGCCCCAGTGACACCCAGGGCACCCCCATGGGCTCCATGAAACCCAGGGCACCCCCATGGCCCCAGTGACACCCAGGGCACCCCCATGGCCCCAGTGACACCCAGGGCACCCCCATGGGCTCCCTGACACCCAGGGCACCCCCATGGCCTCCCTGACACCCAGGGCACCCCCATGGCCTCAGTGACACCCAGGGCACCCCCATGGCCTCAGTGACACCCAGGGCACCCCCATGGCCCCAGTGACACCCAGGGCACCCCCATGGCCCCAGTGACACCCAGGGCACCCCCATGGCCTCAGTGACACACAGGGCACCCCCATGGCCCCAGTGACACCCAGGGCACCCCCATGGCCTCAGTGACACACAGGGCACCCCCATGGCCCCAGTGACACACAGGGCACCCCCATGGCCTCAGTGACACCCAGGGCACCCCCATGGCCTCCCTGACACCCAGGGCACCCCCATGGGCTCCATGAAACCCAGGGCACCCCCATGGCCCCAGTGACACCCAGGGCACCCCCATGGCCCCAGTGACACACAGGGCACCCCCATGGCCCCAGTGACACCCAGGGCACCCCCATGGCCTCAGTGACACCCAGAGGGCACCCCCATGGCCTCCCTGACACCCAGGGCACCCCCGTGGCCTTGCTGACACCCCGCTTCTCCTGCAGCTGATGCTGTTGTCCGTGCTCACCTGCCTCCTCGATGCTCTCAGCCACCTCCTGCAGTGAGTCCCTGGAGCCACTCAGCTCCAAACGCATGGGGAAAGTGAGGCAGGGCATCCCGGGATGAGGGGGTCCGGCTGCCAGCACCTCACATGGGATCACCGGGAGCGGCTGCTCCAGCCTCCCACCCGCTCGCCCGCAGGAAGGAGGTGGAGAAGCGCCGGCTGCTGGCTAACATGGAGGGGACGTTCCTGGTGGTGGATGAGATCGTGGACAGGGGGTGAGCTCCTGCTGGGGATGGGTGCAGGCGCAGGGGGATCCCTGGGTGCTGGGATGGTGCCAAGGGGGAGCTGGGCACCCCTCTTTGCCCCCAGCGCTGCAGCTCTTCCTCCAGCCCAGGGAGGGGAACTGAGGCACGGGGTGGTGGAGCCCAGTGGAGCCCAGCGGGAATGGGGGATCCCGGTGGGATCGGCACCGCTCTGCTCCACAGGGTGATCCTGGAGAGTGACCCACAGCAAGTGATCCAGCGCCTGAGCCTGCGGGTGAGGGCACCCATCCTGCTCCATGGCCTTCCTCTTTCCTGCCTCCTTCCTGCACCCTCCTCACCCTCTTTCCCCCCCAAGGTCCCAGAGCCAG